CAGGGAACCAGGAGAATGGTTCTACAACTTCCAACCATGCACACAGATACCACGCACCTACTACAGCCTTGCAAGCAAGCATGTCTTCTGCAGTGTGAGTAGATGGCCTTTCTATAAAAACCAAACCCTTTCACCCTTTCCACTTTTTGACCACCCTCGTCGTTTTGGGAGTGTTAGCACTACACTTGCAGAGTGACATCGCTGCACCCAGCTCTTTCGGTGCAGCTGCACAGAAATTTGCTGTTTGAAATAGCAAGTGCTTGAAGAAGCAGGTTTTCTCCTGGCAGCAGGCCCTGCGCAGCCTTTCCATCTGGAATTTATGCAAAGGCAATGCTTTTAGTCACACACTACCTGGCACATACCCCATGGTCCAGCCAGCCAGCCTGCTCTGCTATTTTATTCCTAATACACTGTATCTCCAGAAGAGGGAGCTTGTGCTTCATCCTGTTCTCTGAGCATCTGCACAGCTTTAAACATAATTGAAAAACTCAAGAGCTGCTTTCTTTTCTTCATCAGCGCAGCCCCTCCTTCTTTCCCTGGACCCTTCACACGTCCAAACCAATGACCACACTTGTGATTTGTATCAGGAGTCAAAGTGAAAATGGAGGGTTTTTTTCTAAGCAGCACCTGTAGTGTTAACCCAGGTCTGAGCACTTCATTTATACTTACCTGGCCACCAAAGAAAGCAAGAGGCTGGGATGAAGGTTAGGGGAAGCCAAGCAGATCAGTGGAAGTACAGATCACACAACTGAAGGTGCTCCTGACAGCAGTATGTGGGTGGTGCACATCTGCATTCATACTGCTTGGATCCAGACAGGGATGTGCTTGAGCTCATCCAAACACCAAAGTTGGTCTTGGAGTTCTACAGATACATAATAAACAGAGCAGACAACACTATGCTTTTTTGGATGCTATATAATGCTTGGTGAAGATCTGAGAAGCACCTCAGCCATGCAAGTGGGCACAGAGGTGTGAGGAATTGATATGAGGTGCCAGTCTGGACCCCTGGGCACAGAGTGGTCAGTGGATCAAAGTCTACCTGGAGGCTGGCTCAAGCATCTGCTCCTCAGCCTTGACCCTGAGTACAGAGACCAGGACGGCCTCAGAGCCCACGTGGTGGCAGAGGGAGAAGCCAGAGTCAAACCATATGGACCTGGCCATGATGCTCGTAGGAGGACTTCCCAGCCCCAGGGTTGGAGAAAGCCATCACACATCACTCAAGCAAGGAATGTTGACATTGTCCAAGGGCTCACAGGAGCAGCAACAGTAGAACCACATGCACACGGCTCCCGTCTGAGACACTAGTGACTTTCGAGATGCAGGTCAGAGGTTTTCTGTATCACCCTCAGCCGTGACACGATGACAGCAGAGGTCCTCAGTGAAGGCAATGAAGTCCAAGTGATCAAGAAAAGGAGTCCACAGGAGGAAAAACTGAATGTGAGTTCAATAGGGTGTGAAACTCAGTGAGTTCGAACTGAGAAGAACTGAAATGGTTGCAAATCCAGTCCTTCTCCATGCCCCACAGTCACAAGGGAGAAGAGGTGAAAGGGATCCTCTCCCTCCTGCAGAGCATGGGAATGCCCAGTGCAGGGATGTGCAGCTGGACTCACATCCAGCCATCAGCTTCTTTCAGCCTCTCAGCTGCAACAGCCTCCTCAGGAACACACCTCAGGGTGCAAAGGCATGTTGCAGTGCGTAAGGAAGATAAACCCAGAGCAGCTCTATCCATGGAAAAAGGAGCTGTAAGGTGATGAGCTGGGTCCTCCAGTGTCTGGCCAGCAGGGAAGGACTCTCTGTGCTGTGTGGTTGGATTTTGTCTTCTGCCTGGAGATCATCAAATCCAGGATCTTGGGTTCTGGCTGAAGAGCGAGGACAGTAGCTGGTCCAAAATTTCCCAAGTATTGTGCTGGTAACAGGAGCCTTCCAGAAAAAAGCTTTATATGGTGGAAATCCTGAATTTATGCAAACTGATGTCAACCACCGCTAATCTTTCACCGTGTATCTCCACAGAGCAAGATGTTCTTCAGCTCCATTATCTGCTTTCCTTTCTTTTTACCAAATCCTCACCCTCCACATGAAGAACCAATGCAGGAGCCAATGCCAGGTTGCTCCACCCATTCGTAAGTATTCCGGTCCTGAGCTGTGCCATGCCAGTGATCCCTACCAGTATGCTCTGGCTCTCCCCCTCACTGAGTTGGGCACTCCCAGGGCAGTCCCATCGAGCCAGCTTGAGCACTACAGGCACTCACAGCTGAACCTCTCTCCCTCAACGCTGTCTTCCTTCCCAGTGTGGCTGTTGGGGTTTGGTTCTGGCCACCTGCCAGGACAGTCTCCAAGCTCTCTGTGGCTTCCAGGCAGGGAAGACTTGTCCCAGCACCAGGAGGCTCAGCAGTAGGGATTACCCAGGACTGGTATTCAGATCATCTGGACTCTGAAGATATTGACTGCTCTTGCAAAAATACAGAAGCCTGCAAGACCCTGAGCACTGTCTGCCCTTCGCCCAAAGCGTGGGCACGGCCCCCAGGGACCAGACACCAGAATCTCCCTGTGCAGCCAACGGCTCAGCTGAGAGACGGCTCAGCAGTCTTAGAGAGGAAGAAAAGATACACGTGTCCCTACACAATTATTATTTTTAACTTAGAACTAACAGTTTCAAAGGCAGCTTTTCTTTTTCACAGCTGCCTCCACCTAGAGGAAGGGCCTGGAAGCCAGGTATTTCAACAACTTTTAATGGATCTTTCAATTCATGTCTGACCTTACAAAATGAAAATAACAAGGTCACAGTCGCATCCTAGTTTTATTACAACTGACCTGCAGGCAAAAGGATAGAACTATTACATAAACACTCTGATCCGTGTATAATATCTTAAATAGAGGAGGAAGTCAAACCAGGATACTGGATAAAATATGCTGAAGCTCTTTGAAACAGTTATGTTCCTGAGCTTCATTTTACAGACAATAAGGCAACATGCCTGCACATCAGCTTTTTGATATTTTTTATACATTTTTTTCTATGTTACAAAAAAAACCCCGAGTTCACAATGTACAGTTCTTACACTATTTTCACAGCTTTTGAACACTATACACACTTTTTTCCTTTTTCAATAGATACATTATAATAAATGGTGCACCCTTAATAGTTTATAATAATCTATGCTTGATACTCTAAAGCTGTCCATCTGTGCAGCCATCCATGACACCCCACCTCAACCGTGCCTTTGTCTTTGGCAGCCCAAAGCTTCACATTTCCATCTGTCAAAAGCAAACCCATCACGCTGCTAAAGACAAGCTTTGGACAAGGTCAGCAGCAGAGAACGGACCCCAGCCATGCCGAAAGTGCTGAGCAAGGCAGCCGCTTGTGCTGGAAGGAAATTGATTCTCAGCGTTAGCCCTCTGAAAGGTTTTTGGGTAGCCTCTGACTGAGGTGTGAATCAGATTTTACTGTCCAAAAGGTGGGGGCAACTGCAGAGCACCTTTGCTATCTTTACCAAGTCTACCTTTACTGGATCTCTGCCTCTTTAGTCCCCCCCAGCCAGCACCCCTGACACCTGGTGTGCCCAAGGTTCTGTTACAGGTGGCTAAAGGCTGGTGAGACGAGTCACGGCTGCGTGGATTTGCCAAGCCTGAGAAAAGCTGAATTTACTAAGGCTAAGAGGCTGGGGGCAGAATTAGCATTTTAGATACACTATGTTCTTGTTCAACTGATCCTTCCATGTGATTAATCAGAGCTGTCATGAATGAGTAGTTACTTCAGAAAGCTCCATCTTGACTGCTTTGGGAAGACTTCAGTGACTGCCTTGACTGAGAAGCAGCCCCGGAGAAACAAAATGCCGGAAGGGCAGGACTGCACCTCCCTGCCCAGCCAGGCATGCTGCACCCCAAGGGATCATATCGGTGTCAGCCTCAATACCAGAGGGACCAGCTTCAGCAGCTGAGCAGGAGGGGCACAGTGCTGCAAGCCTCACACAAGGGTGTCATGTCTGCGGCTGGAGAAACACCAGGCACCCACAGCATTGGCCCTGGCACTCTCGTTCCCAACCGAGCAGCTGGGGCAGGGATGTGCTCGTGTCCAGTGCTCCCGCATTAGCCCAGTTTTCACATGGTAGCATGGGTTCGACATGGGAAGCCTCTTCCTTGGGAATCCTGCCAGTAGTGCTGTGTTTTCACTCCCAGAGGGCTAAGCATCTCTAGCTCTCTGTGTCCTGGGTCTGGTTTTGCTGCAAAGCTTTGACAGTAGGTTGCTCTAACATCGATGAAGTCTAAGTGCCTGAACTAGACAACTCAAAATGGAAATCAGAGACCCTGCAGCCTTCATTGTATCCCTGGTATGCTACTAAATTCCTGAAAACGGAAATGTTTTGGAAAAAATAAAGTTTTCAGGAAAAATTAATCGTCGAAAAAGATGCCAATTTAAAAAGAAAAAAAGCCCCCAAAACGACTGATGCACTTTTTTGCTCAGCAATGGGCCAGAAGATGACAGCTTGCCTGGCCTTGCTGGGTCACCTAAAAGCCCACGAGGTATCAGACACTCCCTCATCTCTATCTGCACCAAACAATCTCAGTGGGGTTTGCTCTAGGGTGCAGTAACAACAGCTATGGAGAGTCACGAAAGAGGCTGAATATTCCTAGAGGCTGGTGCAGGTCTCCAGCAAGCTAAGCAGAGATCGACATTTACAGCAGCAGGGCAGGCAGAGCCCCAGTGTGGCAGGGGGACATCCTCACCATCCTGCTTGCAGTGGTGAGAAGCAGCGTGGAGGTTTAGCCTTGTGACACTGGGCTGGGCCGCGGCAGACTGCCAGGCCAGCCTCGGGGTCAGTGGAAAGGTGCTAGCTTCAGGGCTGGGAAGAATGAAGAACATGGGATACATTGACTGGCAACCACAGACATTCGTCTGCGGCTCATTAAAACTGCTGCAGACCACATGAACGGTACCTGTCGAAATCAAAGTGAAGTCAGCTGGTGGCGAGCACTGTGCAGCTACAAATCAGGTCACAAGCAGGTTAAATTCAATAGAGTGTTTAATAATTCTTCAGGTCAAAGGTCTTATCTTACCAGGTAACAATTTACAGGACACCTAGTTAAGAGTGGCTGGCTTGGTAAAAGGAGGAAGAATACATTATGTCCCATCTCTGAATAGTTTAATGTTAGCCTCTTTGAACGCAACATATTTTTGGTAAAGACATATTCACTATATTTAACATGATCTCTCTTTAACAGGACGTTCAGCTGAGCACACTGTCCCCAGAAAGTACACTGCGACTGTAAAGCAACAGAATTTCATAGCAGTAAATCTATTGCACTTTGTGAAGAATAAAATTCTCCTTTGCCTTTCTAGCTCCAGAAGGCAAAGCTTCTCGTTGGTTAAGCAAGTTCTTCTCCCTCCAGGCAAAGTCTCTTAATGTTCAGACAGACAACGCCTAACTTTTGTGTGTTTGCCTTTATTATTACTTGAAACAACAATTGGAAGAGTTTGAGAGAAAAACCTTTCCAGTATCTGCTGAGAAGTCTCCAAGTTTTGAGTCTAGAAATGAATTTTAGGTGCAATCCAATCACGGTCAACAAATAAATGTACTTATTTCCACATATCATGAATATGTCCACAAAAGAGCAAGATGAGGTCTCTCTTTGACCAACACTAACACTGTGTGATCAGGTATTACAGGGATGCGCTTTATATGTGACAACAGTATACAGACAAGATGGAAATAACACCAATATTATTGCACATGGTGTCTGGGCGAGCGTTAAAAACACTGCAATATGTGATGAAAATTCTTTACAGCTTGTTTCCTCTCAGCCCTTTTTCTGGAGTTTGATGTAGCAGCAATATCAATCGACGTACATTGGAGAGCTGGGAGTTGCTGGCATTTGATCCAGGATTTTACAAACATAGCATGCAACATCCACTGTGCGTTCCTCATACATCAGGATGAATGGATGCTTCTGGAATCAGAAAAAAACCAAGGTTACGTTATCACTTCCAACACAAGTCAGCTACTCCAGATAAAAGCTCAGACTACGGATTTGCCTGATGCAAGAGCACATGGCTTGGTGGAGGCTGTAGGACAACAGGACATAGCCTGGTCCATGACGCTTACGTACAGGAAATCTGTGTCTCAAATGTACAATACGGAGGTGGGACAGGACTCCAGGAGTGTCAGGAACTGCTGGGCAAGAGGTGGTGCAGTATTAGCAGCACCTGGCTCCTCTGAAGGAGGTGATTCTCCCCCTCTACTCTGCTCTTGTGAGACCCCACCTGGAGTGCTGCGTCCAGCTGTGGAACCCAGAAGGATACAGACCGGTTGGAGCGAGTCCAGAGGAGGCCAAAAAGATGATCAGAGGGCTGGAGCACCTCTGCTATGGGGACAGGCTGACAGAATTGGGCTTGTTCAGCCTGGAGAAGAGAAGGTGCTGGGGAGACGTTATTGCTGCCTTCCAGTACCTGAAGGGGGCCAACAAGGAAGCTGGGGGGGACTTTTTACCAGGGCCTGTAGTGACAGGAAAAGGGATAATGGGTTTAAATTGAAAGTGAGGATGTTTAGATTAGATATCAGGAAGAAATTCTTCACAGAGAGGGCGGTGAGGCACTGGGACAGGTTTTCCAGAGAAGCTGTGGATGCCCCATCCCTGGAAGTGTCCAAGGCCAGGCTGGATGAAGCTTTGAGCAACCTGTTCTAGTGGAAGGGGTCCCTGCCCATGGCAGGGGGGTTGGAACTAGATCATCTTGAAGGTCCCTTCCAATCCAAACCATTCTATGATTCTATGACATGTACTGAGATACTTTCAAGAGGTTTCATCATCAGCCTTGTCAGCAATGGGGAAACATGAGTGACAGGGAGACAGACATGGCTTGTGGAGGTCAAACAGGAGATCAGGACACAAACGCAGTTCTTCTGAACCCTGGCCATAGGAGGCCCAGGAGGCCATACTAAGCTGACCCAACTCAGAGCAAAGTAATGACACGGTGACTCTCTGGACCAGGTCACCAGGCAAACTCCTTTTGTATCACACCATCACCATCAGGGATCCCTGGCATGGTTTCACACATTCCCTGAAGAGATGCCCAGAACTCCTCGAAGGTGCATGGTTGCCAAGCGTCACTGATCCAACCCAAAAGCATCACTGCATTCTCTGCTTTAGGACTGCCCATCACAGACAGGCTCTGCCGGTATCTTATTCCAGAGCCGTGCTCTTTCAGGTTTGACTTTTGCCTGAGAACTCCCACCATCACTGCGTGGCCTGTGCACTGGAGGCATTTACGCAGGACAGCACTGGCCATTTATGTGCCCAGCAATTTGTCAGGGCTCCTGCACTGTACCAGGACCTCGAGCAAAACCAGCATTTCTATGGCACACCCAGCATGCCTGACCTGCCCACTGCAGGGATCACCGATCCACTGCAATGGGGCATTTCGCCCATGGGGATCTTCTGTGTTCATACAGAACATTAGTGTCATACAGACACTAATGATCTTGGCTATCACCCTGACTAAAGGCCAGAGACAGTGGCATCGAAGTGGTGCTCTTCCTCAGGCCATAGAGCTGAACACCCTGCCTGGATGGCCCAAGAAGACAAGGAGCAACTCAGACACAAGACTCAGCCCCATTGTGTGACTCGCACAGCTGCGATGGCAGCCACACTCTGCACTCACCAGAAGCTCTTTGTACTTCGGCCTTTTGGACTCATCCTTTGTAAGGCTAAAGAAAGCAGAAAGAGAATTAGGAGTAGGTGGGATTTGGCAAATTCTTACAGACATCAAATACAAATTCTTACAGGACACAATGTTGAATACACTGTGGTCATGGTGGGACTCACTGCCTTTTGTTTCCTGGAAAACCACAAGGACTCTCTCCCTCCCTCCCTCCCTCCATGGCTGAAGAGCAAGTGTGGTCACCAGTAAATGCTGTTGGCGACGGAGCCCAAGGGAGCTGCAAGTGGAACACTATCCCAACTGCCAATGCCTCCATATGAAGACGGGTTTGACTGCAGCATAACCACCAGTTTTGGGCAGCAGCAACCAGCCTGTCCTCCATCTATCAGGCAGCAGAGGTCAGAGACAGAGGAGAGCCAGTGCTGCCTGCCAGGGCACAGATGGGGGACACAGACACCACCCTATCATCTTGGTGTGTGCAGGCGGAGGCCGGGGCTGTAGCAGACAGCTGAACCTCTCTGTGGGGCCAGGGCCCTCCCAGCTCATTCCCAGCACTGATGGCACATCCAGCACTGAGCAGGCCACAGCTGCTGGGAAGGGAAAGGAGAGGTGGCATGGCTGCCCATGGGCAGCTGAGGGCAGAAGGTCTGGCTGGAAAGCATCCCCTCCTGTGGGGCTCCTCTGATACCTTGACCACCCACTGGGACCCAGCGCAGGGGGATGGCAGTTGGCAGGGAAGGCCACCAAAGCCCCTGCAGCAGGGAGACATGGCGGACGACAGGAGAGGTGATGGGGACCAGAGGCAGAGGGGCTGCAGGATGGGGCTCAGCGATGGGCGGCCCCGGCAGCCCCTGCCCTAGGAGCCAGAGCTGCACCACTGAGACGAGAAAGGACAGATGTAGCATCTTCCCTAAGCAAGGGGAGTTAACTCTAATTCCCAACAGCTTTATTTCCACTCCACAGCTCTGGCTGGACCTTTCTCAAGCTCAAGCACTACTACAGTGTGGCCTCAAATTATTTGGAGAAGCAGAGGGTAATTAACGCTGCACGCCCGGCACTGCTCTGCCTTGTGATCTTCTCCTGCAGAGCTGTGCAGGGGCAGAGAGGGCAGGAAATCCTGCACCTGCCGCACAAACATTCTTGCTTCAGGCATTTGCTACCCAACAGCAATCCATTTTCTGACCTCAGCAAGTCTGGGGGTTCAAATATACACAATTCTGTAGGGCAACTAGTCAGAACTTCATCTCACAGTTTTCCTCTGAAATTCCTATGCATGTTTTAATAAAGCAGTCCTAGAAATACTTTATTTCTTTTCCAGTATGACATGAGACTGTGTCTGGAGTAGCCATTTGCAGCACCAGGTGCCATACAGCTCCTTCACAGGCACATCTGGTCTCCTCCCCAGACACGCTAGACCTCGGGAGCTCATGGCTCTGCCTCTGAGCACAGCCAGTTCTGCAGCTGCCAGCCCAAGACTCCCAAAAGCCAGACCGAGATCTTGGATACTTTGCAAACTCTGAAGTGGAAAGCAGTTCCAGGAGTGTGACTTCAGACAAGCATCTAACACAGGGATGTGGGCTGAAGGGGAAAATCTTCCACCTAGGCACTCACAGCGCTGTTGGGATCCAAAGCAAATTGGGAAAAAACAAACAAACAAAAAACCACAAACAACCAAAAAACCCCACAAAAACAAAACCAAACAAACCAATATAAAAACACCACCACAAAACCCAGGAACTTTTTAACATTATTGAAAACATCCTTTCTTCACTGATCCATCATTTGAGCAGGCAGCCACACTGCAGGACTCTTTCAGCATTTTTCCCGACTCTTGAATGCACAAAAATACAAGATTATTAGATTCACATTTGTAGGGTAATGCCCAGGAGATTTATGCCATCACCTAAAAGTACAGCCTTTTTGGAGACTCACCTGTCTGCTTAATAACACCAGAGATTACTGTCTGCACTTAAGTAAAGGTTATGAAGGGAAATATTTATCACAGCGTTGCTATAAAGACGTCATAAATATTCTAGGCAGGAGTTAGATTATTTACAAAACCAGATTAAACAAAAACCAGAACTAGACTGAAAACTGCCCCATGGTCTATGCACTGTGGCTGTTCCAGACCAGCAGGCTGTGGGAGGGGAAAATGGGCTTGAAATATGAATCGTCCCAATCAGACCCATGTGCCAAAAAGGCTGCTGTTTAGCAGAGGTGCCATGCAGGCTCCGTTGGGTGGTCTGGAGCCAAATTCACCAGTGCATACAGGGCAGGAGAGCAAGCTCCTGGCTTTGCAAACTCTAATGATACGGTGTCTCTCTATGGAGAAACATATATGTGGGAAACAAACTATTGCTTGTACTGTATATGGATAAAGCAACTCTGACCTTCTAACCAAATACTATGCTATTTTGGACTGAAAATTGGAAGCTTCTTTTGAGCAGCAACCTGTTTTGATGCTCTGTTTTCTGCAGCCCAAAGGCAATAACCAGGCCTTCCTTACAGCCAGCTAGAAAGTGGAAACTGGTCTCCATAAAAATTCATAATTCTGAGAGTAAAATCCAAACTATAAAACCATCACCAGTGGATGGAAAACCCTGAAACAAAACCTACTGAAAGCTGAAGTTGTCTACAGCTGAGTCTTCCTGTCTCACAGGAAGATGAGATGGACACCCCTGCACTGGGAATGTCTATCACCTGGGTCTGCCCAGGGCAGAAAGTCCCAGAAGACAAACACAGGGCACACTGATGGATCTCCTGTGTGCTTCAGATTAGGTTAATACCACCATTCACATTTTGGTAGAAAAAAAATTCATCAGAAAATTCACCATCAGCCCTTAACCTAAGCAGGACCACACACTCGTTGCAGGCAGACAGACTTCCCCAAGCCCCTCCTGCACAAACACTGCACGCTCTCCATCCAAGGCTGACTGTGCTGTAGAGGTCCTGCCCTACAGAAAGCTATCTCTAGCCTTCATCTTGACATATGATTGACAGAAGACAGAAAGCCAAGAACCAAGAAAGCCACCCTCTACAGGTCCCTACAGTCACGGGCTGGAAAGCCTCCTGTCCTTGCCAGGCAAAAGGCAGGACCTGTACGGATCCTCTGCTCAGCCACGAGACAATACTGCCAGGTGTCTCAGGTTTCTGCTTGCAGCAGAAAGGGCAAACAGCAAGTCTGTCCCAAGGCTGTGTCATACCAAGAAACAGGATGGACAGGACAGGCCCTTATCTGCTCACACAGACCTCCTGCCATGGGTTCATACTTACTGCTTCTGATCATGCCTCTCCTGAGCACAGACTCTCAGAGGTTTTCTCCTCATCCCTTCTCCGAAGAGCCGTTTCCAAAGGCCTGCCTTTCAGCCCCCACCCAGACAAGTCTCCCCTCACCTCCAAACCAGCAAAATGCAGAAGATCCTCACATTGGTGCAGGAATGTGAAACTAAGCTAGGAAGTGCTTGGCATGCAACCCTTGCCAGATACCTAGAAACGACAAAACAAGCAAAATCCAAGTGCTTTCAGTAGGAAACACTTACCACAAGTTGACAAAGTTGATGAAACTTGGGGAGAACTCCCTTTCCTCTGAGTTACTCAGCTGTGGTGGGTCTCCTTTTACTACTTGTGTCAACTGGTCAAACACACTGTTCCACTTGGGGTAGGGGAATCGCCCCGTGGCCAGCTCATACTGCAGAAAGACATTAACGGCACCAGAGAGGTTACACAAGGTGAAGTCCACTCATTTCATAAGAAAATGTCTGCAAGGACCCTGATAGCCCCAAAAGGAAGACAAAGATGAGATTGTTCATCCCATTCCCTATATGAAGCTCAGCTGAAAGGGAAAATTTTACCCACCAGGAAGTTTTGCTGCCTATGTTAGGAGCACCTCCAGATTTAACCTGACTATGCCATGCCTTCATGTTGACAATGTCTTCTCCACTGACTATGAAATGAATCAATGCTCTTACTAAGGTGTTCAAAAGCAGGACAGAAAAATCCTCCAGTCCCTTCCCTAGCCTCTTAACAACTGCTAGAGAACATGGATAATGAGAATGACACAATCACAGAATATATCAGGTTGGAGGAGACCCATAAAGTCAAACTCCCTGCTCCTTTTAAGACAATGAAAATGAGCATTTTAAAATGCTAGTGGGGAAGACAGAAGCTCTTGGTTCATACGTATTGCTTCTGCTTTCTCTTCTATTTCAAAACCTCAAGAAGGGAAGATCTTTTCAATTTACCAATATGTTCACCTAGCAGTGCTGTGGTTAAGCCAGAGAGGAAACAGCAACCAGGATCCAGGATTTACTGAAGTCTCCTGCACAGCCAAAGCACACCAGATGTCAGGGCTGAAAGAAGCTTATTCACACAGGCTGGATACTCTGTTCTGTACCACCACACTCACCATCTCTTCTCATCTGAGATTCTGAAGACAAAATTCATTTATGATCCAAAACCTTCTCCTTGCTCAAATCTATTTTTCTGCAAAGCATAACTGCAGCTAAATGTATCCTCATGGGTTCAGGAGAGCCATCTGCCTTGAAGGGATTTATATTGTTTCTGAGCCAGGAGGTGCCCACTTCAATCACAACACACAAGTGATTCACAACAGTGGAGCTGGGCTTTGCTTCAAGTACGTGTTTGACACCAATCAACTCCATCACACTGTAAAGGACATGAAGGCTACCCACCTGGAAAGTATCACACCACAGAGGGCTTAAACCTCACTCACCAATGTAATTCCCAAGCTCCAGACATCTGAGCGGACATCATAGCCTTGCCTGGATGCACTGGGATCTATCCTTTCAGGCTGAAACAAGAAGGAGGACCAGTCAAACACTATGCCATGCAGGAAGAATGAGAAGCATCTGCAAACTTAGGAAAAACTTTAAGTTTGTCCGGCAAGGCAGAGCCTGGCACATCCTTTAAGACAAACTTGTTGGTAGGGCAGATATCCAACCCCAGCAGAGAAGCATCTTAAGGAATCAAACACTCACTTTATAGAGGTATAATGTAAAAGGTGATCTGAAACGGCAATTCATCACAGCCCAATCCTTTTTTTCTTTTTTCTTCTTTTGTACAAGTACTTTGTGTAATTGTTACTGTCTATTTATTTAGTTTTAACTTTGGGATCTCTTCAACACGCAATCTTGCTTTCTCTGTTTTTACAGCAAAGTTGTCCCTAGGGAATCATAACAAGTGGAATAAACATCACCTCATCCACCAGCCCAGGGAACTGGGCTTTAGCATCGTCTATCAGAACTCTTATTCCCAACTGTCTGCTGGCTGCTAAACCTCAGGTGATATTAAGTGTTTGAAGAACAGCTCTTCTTTACAACGTTTTGGGCATCCCTTGAAGTCGATTGTGATGTTACAAGGTCTTCAGACATCCACAAAGTTTTCCATAGAAAACATTATCAAGCCAGACATGGATGATTTGAACTTAAGAGTGAGTTGTCCAGAGAGAACCAGCACAAAACATCTTTATGCTTTGCATGCCATCCTTATGGGAAACCTCAATTCGGCCTTCTTTTGGTACAAATGCAATAATTAAAATGTCAAAAGAAACAGGGTCTCATTCAGTTTTGACTACAACAATATTAAAGAGACATGAATTGCAATAAAATACTAAATTATCAGGTACAGGAAATACTATGAAGACCCTAGTTTAATACAATTTCATGGCAGATGCTGGCTGAAGAGTACCATGCAATGAACTAAGCCCCTTAGTGCAACCTCAACCCTCCAGTGGACCACAGCATGAGAAGACTACCATGTTCGCACAATACCTCCCAGCCCCCAAACCCTCACAGTTCTGGTTGTTCTACCATGCTGCCAGCTCTCCCCTTTGCAGCCTACTCCTTCACACACCTACCCAGCTGTGACCGCTTCCAGACCTCTCCCGTTCCCTAAGTCACCAGGATCTTCCCCAACAAGGAAACTTGCCCAGGCCATGCATACCCACCAAGGAGCTTCCACCAAACTTCAGTAGTTTGTGGCTTCTCCTACAACTTCCTTACTACTCCTCAGTACATGGCATATTGCCTTCCCAGCACCACTGATGTGTTTTATTATCCTAACTTCCAGTTACGGGATCTGCCTTGAAAGAGACTGGCTTCAAATACCCTGACCATGCTGACTTTCCCACCCTCTTAGGTCTGCCCTCTGCAATACTTTCATATCCTTCGGTTATTGCTTCCATTCATCTTAAGCTCACGTATTAGTCATTCCTCTCATGACCTGGATGGACTTTTACAATAATTCTGGTAGGAGAGCAGACAAAATAGTAAAATTACTAACATTTAACTATCTTAAACCTACCATCAGCCCTTCACATGCTCATCTTGTAGCTCAGTCAAAACCAATGACATTTATATTGCAGGTAAACCCATGCTTCTAACTGCTCACAACCCAGCACCCTACCTTTGCTGGGTCTGCTCAGCCTTTCCATACTGAGTACACCATCACAACAGATTACCAATCACCTGATAAGGAATTAATAGCTAATATAAACATCCATTTCTTTAAATATGGGGAATAGAAATGTAATGACAATTTCTCCACCATTTTGTAGCTGAGACAGTGGTAGAAGTACATGAAAACAGCAAGAGAGGTGAGGATCTGAATGGAAAATGTGTATTCCTAGTCCCCGCTACTTGCGTATTTGAGGGGAGGATGGTTTAGTAAGCAGCAAACATTCAGAGTGTGGATGCTCTTGGATGTTCTAGGAGGTTACTGGACATTTCACTAAGAAGTAAAACATCTCAAGGAGGACCACGTGGGTAAGCACTGGCTCACACTCAGGCTCAGGAAGGACAAGAGGAACTCAGACTTATAAATTAAAGCTATCTTTTACTCCAAAGTAACGCATGGAATAACATCACCTCACAGGTGCACAAAAATAAGTCAAAATGCTCTCTGATATATTTCTGTGAAGAGTCCAAAATATTAATAAGAAAGCAAACAGAAAACACCAGCAGTAGGAAGGTGGATGGAAAAACATGGTGACAACAACAGACCAGCATTAGATGTGGCACTGCCGGCACCTCCTCTGTCCCCTCACACTGAAAAGAAGTTTACAAGGCCTCTCATCAACCACATTTATGAGTGATGCTGCATCCACCTTGCTCTCTCGATGCCTAGTCAGCACAACAGACCTGCGCCTTCCCAACAGCCTTGTTTGCCTATGGGCCACCCCACCCAAGCTCCCCCCAGCATTCCCAGGTCTCAGGCCCCAGAACAGCTGGACTCCACCAGCCCAGCAGGATGCCCAGGACCATGCTCCTGTGACTGCAGCCCTACAATGCCAGTTCTGCCTTCCCTCTGTGCAAATCTCTCATTACATTCTCTTGCCTCCAACCCTCCTGCCAGAGGCTGGTGGCTTCTCCTGCTGACATGGATACAGCAGCAAGAGTAGATGTGAAGCACACCAAGCTCTCCCTTCCCTGTTCCTCAGGCACAACAGTGTTGTGGCCAGCAGGCCAGAGGAGGGGATGGGACTGGCC